GTTTTTGCCTTTTTTTGGGGGTGGAGCGTGTAAAAATGCATTCTTGAAATACAGACACAGCTGGTGATTACTGTTGTTTGGGGGAGGTGGGTGGTGCTGTTTAAAAATGCATTCTTGAAATACAGACATTGCTGGTGATTGGGCGGTGGGGGTGCGGGTGGGTGTATAACAATGCATTCTTGAAATACAGACATAGCTAGTGATTACTGTTGTTTGGGGGAGGTGTGGGTGGGTGAGGTGGTGCATAAAAATGCGCATTCCTGAAATACAGACATAGCTGGTGATTACTGTTTGTTTATGAAATCTGATGTACAAATGCTGATACCCTTTTTCGTTTAAAGACATAATTTAAGCGAATTCTACAGCTGACCAGTTTTAGATCCTCAACCACAACAACATACCGTATGGGGAGGATAGAGTGTACCAGTCCTTACTCCTACCTCGTGGAGGTAGAGATGTTGCTTTTGAAAGACCCTGAGCTCAAGTGTAGCAATTCAAATTATTTATGGAAAGAAATAAAAACTATAGGGAAGAAAACATGGCAACTAAAAAGCAAAGGAGTGTGGAGCATACAAGAAAAGAACAGTAACAACAATAGGATAGTGCGATAACCAAAACAACCGTTGATGATAGATATCAAAAGCAAGCAACTACAAGCTTACAAATAATACTACAACAGACACTGCCAAGCCTAAACCCGTCTAAAAGCAAGACAATGTTCCACTACCTACTCTTTTGTTATGTAGTATGAAAATATACATGAAATTTGGTGCAGGAAAGATTGTATGGGCACCATTTTTATACAAAAAATGTTTGTGGAGTTTGTAGTTGAGCCAAAAAATTCTTGGTAAATGTGAATTAATTAAAGGATTTAGCCTTAGTTTGCTTCAGTATGGTGTTACTTTAGTAGGCTGAACTGATTTAGCTGATGGCTTTTGTTTGGGAAAGGGAGAGCTTTATTAAGTAATTTCATGATTTTTATAAATATCTGGTAATTTTGAACTTAAGTTATCTAATGAAACTTCAAGATATGAATTTAGAACTTGTCAATCTTTTATTTGGTAAAAGCAATACTAAATGAGTAAAAAGGAAAAGAACTTGGCAATCTTTTATTTCATTATAGTTCTATGATTCGTAGTATTTTTTTCCTTAATCTTTTTTGTCGATAACCTCAGACCAATCAATCGAATATTGATTAATACGTAATCGATCGAACACTACTTGAAAACGGCTCTTCTGCTCCGAAACGGACTGTTCCAAATGTTCCTGGAAACTCTTGCTCCCATTGGACCATTTGTATCTATATGCATCAGGATCCCGATTCATGGATCTCTCGGTTCGAGAAATCAAAATAAGAGGCTCGAACCATTTCTTCTGACTCTTTTTCAAATTCGATAAATATTGGTTGATCGTATATTTCATTATAGTTCTATGATTCAGAGTATCCTTTCCTATTTGATCCCTTTGAATTCCATATTCGAAGTTGCGATCGGATCTATATTAAAAAGAATCGGTTCAATATATTTCTTATGTACCCATAGGTACTATATTGGATTTGTATCAAATTTCGGATCAATCTATGTTGAGTGATTGCCTTCATTATGTAGTTGCTACCAAGTACCACTATTTTTGGTTTTGGATCTTCCAAATCCTTCCCGTAGGAGATCCAGACCCATTTTTTCTAATCCTTTGAGAAAAATATTCATTCTCTTCCTAAAAATAGGAGGTAGAACCAACAAAGATTTCTTTTTCTATTCATCCTTGACCTCACTCAAGAATTGTTTTTTATCCAATCCGCAGGAATTAATAGAAAAGGCAAATCCTGTATAATACACCAGATCCGGCTCGGTTATTAATAGAGTGAATAGATCTTGAAAACTTTCTTCTGATTCAAAATCATAGTGTAACGTGTATCCTCCCCTATAACAAAAAATTGTTTTTTGTTCAAGAATGAATGGAACTGTCCATATCTAGTTCATCCTTTGGAACCATATCACATCCCGGATAATGAATTAGGATGAATTGAGACGGTATTTTGTTAATATGTAATTATCTTGAATATACTAACCATTTCTTTATTTTGGGATCGCCCGGAAGGGACAAAAGAAAGATCTTGTTGTTTCTATAACTTGGGAGTATCTCTCTGAGCATATTCCTGCAGAAATTCTTCGCCTGTCTTAAAGATAAATGTTCATAAAAGAAAGGGAACTTTTGAAATCCCTGGAATTTATTTATGTAGAATTATTCAACCTAAGTACTTTCCTTTTCAAATTTGACATGTCTGTTTTTACTTTCCATTCACATTTAGCTTACTTACTGAATATATAGAGGGTTCATATAATTGACTCGGATTGATCTGGATTTGAGGCATAGTTGATTGATTGAGAAAAATTACTAGCACTAACAATAAGTATTCTTCTGTTTGCTCTCTGTATTTACTTTCTAATACAGTGAGGAAAACATCTACCTGCTATGCAAAAAGCTATGTGATGATGGGCTAGCAGATCCTGATGGTTCTGATCTGTTTGTTATTTTCATTTCCAATGAGAAGAAGCAGGCAACTACTCTTTGCTCCTCCTTTGGTTACTCGTTACTGTCTTAAGAAGTTCATTCACTTCATTGATACTTCATCTCAGTGAAAATGATAGTTGTATAAGATCTGTTCCGCTACTAGTAATGGTAATTTATTGCGTTAAACTAGCAAATAGTTAGGTGGATAACAAAATAATGTGAACTGCAAGCCTTTGTTTGCAAACGGGATGTACTAACGTTTAGAACTTGATCTTTCACATTTTGTTTACCATTTGATAATTCTTTGTAATGCTTTAATCAGTTCAGTTTTTTCTCTCTATCCCCAATACAGCAAAGTAAAAGGATGAAGGGAAGTTCATGTTTGAATGGATCTGAAAATGGTCCAGGACACTTAAATGAGTTAAAGATAAATTGGACGTGAACATTCTTCGAAACTAAATCGATACAATACTATGAGTTCGTTTCTAGTGTACTGTGGCTTTCCAACTTAGTTGTTTGAATAAGGAGAGCGACAGAATGGCTGACAGTTCAGTTGTACCTAGCATAATGTTTTTGGGGATGTTAATTAATAATTATATGCTTTCAGATTCCTCTGTGGCATCAGAAGGCTAGCCAGCGAGCGGAGGGAGTTATTCTGTGGGACTATCATGTTATCTGTGTACAGGTTAGATTAATCTACTTTTTTCTAGTATAAGCTGAAAATGGTTAACTATATGGTTTTCATTTTTCTCTACTATAGCTATTGACATTTCATGTCCTTGAGAAAATCTGTTTGGATGCTGGCAGAAAAAGAGAAATGAGAACTCTTTGTCACTAGTGTGGGATTTAGATTCAAGCCTTCCGTTTCCATCACCTCTTGGCACTTACGTTGCTGACAGCATTCGCCCATCAATTCAGATATTTTCAGAATTCAAAAGGTAATAACTGTTCTAGTCCCAAAAAGAAACATGATTTCATTGATAAAGCTACGTATCTCTTGAATTTTTTGCTCTTAAACGATGAAGAACTGTTATTTCATTTTCTTTTGTAGGAGCTAGATATTTCATATTTGCTCAAATTAAGATTCTTGAAATAGTGATCTATTGCCCTTCTGTGTATTGTTTTTCTCCATTCCCTCCTGAAGTCAACCCAACCTTAAAATGTTTCTAACTTTTCGCAAAATTTACGCTCTACTTAGTGAATCTCATTTTTGTTTATCTTTAAAAATTGATTTCACAAGTCCACCCTATAGGGGGTGTTCTCATTAAAGAAATGCTCTTTCACTGACCTTTTTCTGAAGAAGAAACTAGAGTATGTTTTTCTTCTGGTGCTAAGCAATGTTGCCGACCTTTTGCTTGGAATAATAAGCTTACTGCAACCACATGAAGAACCAACTTTGGCCATTTCAGGTTTTTTCGAGTTGTGCATGCCCCTATATTCCTCCGACACTTCGCATCAGATAGAAGACATATGAAGGATTCTGCTGGAAACTGGATTGCTGAGCCGCCATCACATGAAGCTATTGTTGCTGAAGGTAAATGCAGGAAATAAAAGTTTGCAAGATTATGCTTTAGTCATTTGTTGGTACATTTGGGAGATAAAGATAACTTTGTTCCTTCGATTAATATTTTATCCCATAACTACTCAAATGCCGACCCTAATTTGATTATTCTTTTGTTTTTTTTGCCAAGTTCATCAACTTCATGATAAATATCTCAATAAGGACTGACCTTTTTGCTTGATAGTCAATTAGTTTGTTCTATATAACCTTTTGACTTTCACACTTAAAACAAATTTGGAGGTGGATATCGTGCATCAAAAGTTGAAATACGCCGTTGTATGCCATACCAAACTGACTAGAAGTTCGAATCTCCCCTGCTGGTTTTATTTCCAATTATCTGATCTCACCTAACTTTTCTATCTACAATGTCGCATGACTTATATCAGAACTTGCAAGTACAAGATTTGATAGCACAGTTCAGCTTTCTGAATGTAATTATATTTGATCTCATTTTATGTAGCATCACTTTTCATAGTTAACTTATGGAATAGAACATATAGGAACCAGTAGAACTAAGCCTTTTGAATATTTTTTCATTCGTTAAAATTGAATCGAGGAGCACATTTGCATTACCTAAAGATATCTGATAGGTACTTAATGATTTAGGGTCATCTGGTACAATTAGTGAGAAAATATGAAACCCTCTCGTTTGCTTGAGTTACAATTTTTATTTTCATTCTGTCTTTTGCTTGTACAGATGGAGCTGTACACAACCTGAACGAGTACATTACAGTCTCTCCCGACGATGTAGTGAAGAATGTGGAAGCTGATACCGTCAATGTTGTTTTCTCCGAGAAACTTGGTGTCGTAATTGGTGAAGATGATTTGTTGGGATTTTTCTCTTTGATTTCATGACGAGAGTTGAGAAAAATTTACTAGCTTGAAAGATGAAATGATGGTCTTGGATTTTTACATGTAAAAAGAAAAAAAAGTGTCTTGTGAGAGTTCTGCAAATAGAGTGGAAAATGTTCTTGTTTTGACAAGGTTTTTTTTGGAGTGATTTTATTTTATAGAACTTGTATAGGCTTGATGCCTGGCCCTTCCCCGGCCCCGCGCATAGCAGGAGCTTGGTGCACCGGCTTTTTTTTTATAGACATAAGTGGTCGGGTTAGTTTTCGTGTATCTCGACTATTCCATCGGTTATTTGATAGCTCTAGCTAGCATAGGTAACAGATAACTCTGTACGTCAAGGCTTAGACATGATACAAAAATATCATCTAAAGACTTTTTGTTACTACTTGGTTGAATTTTGATCTTAAATGTTTTTTTAAGCCCATGATGGACGGTGGGGCAAAAGAAGGCTAGTCAAAGAAAAGACTTACGGATTTCTAGGTTGACAAGTTGTTGAAGAAGAGGTGTACATGACACTTTGAGTGAATAACATATTGAAACGGAAGAGAAAAGTGAAGAGATTTATAAGACAGCTAAAGTAGAAAATACATGTTATGGGCTTGAACAATGACATGTTTACACAATACAACACATATAAAACACTATTGATACTCTTAGCTTCATTTTATGTGGATTATTTATTTTTAATATGTTTCAAAAAATATATATTTCTATATTTGAAAACTCCTTTTTAACTTTGAACTTCCAGTGTTAGACTTAATGGCATACTCTGATAGTCATATAAATGTAAAACAATTATTTGATTTTCTTTCTTGCTTTCTCTTAGAAGTGGGAAAGGACTATCTATTTGTCTAGTTTTGATAGATTTCCTCCAACACAATCTACAAAAATTCTACAAATTTCTTGGTGAATAAGTCTGACAATAGATGTATTTTAAACCACAAGTTCTAAAGATATTTTTCGCTATATGATACACGTTTTATTACCTTCTTAAATTATATGCACATTCAAATACCATCTTATCAAAATAAACAGTGCTATTATTTCCACCAGTCGTAAGTGGTTGATTTCCCTGAATTTTGTGGGCCAAATTAATACCATCAGACGTTGTGTAAGGTGGCAAGTAGTACTCCACATAACGAAATTTTTTTCTTATCTTATTCTAGAATGGAAATATAGATATTGATGCAAGAAAAAAACTCAAGAGACCTCGAGCATAATATACGCTACCATCAGAGAGTTCATTCGATTTTAATCAGAGGTCATAACATCTTAGATTATAATTTTGAAAATGAAATTGCTATCGATAAAAATTGTGTTTACTTGGATTGTTCAATATAAATCTAAATTAATCGAACCTCAAAATAAATATTGAACGACCGAGTAAAACCTCTAACTATAGGCCAAAATAATGCTCCTATGAATTGTGAGATAAGTGGTAATAATTGATTGAAAGGTCTCTATTGCACCTAAGTGTCACAATGACTCAATGAATGCTGTATTTTGTTTCTTTTTTTCATAATTGGGTTGGGCACTTGAACTAATAATTTATTTCTTTATAATCATGGAAACTTTATTTACTAATTGTATTTTGTTATTAAACTATTACTTACAAGTCTTTTTTTGGCTAAATAAAAACTATATATTGTAATAATTATCTATTACATATTTTGACTCTTCTCCTCCTTATTATTACTTAATTATTGCATTATTACAACAACTATCTTCATTTTTGGTAAAATAATAATTAACCAATCTCCATAGAAATAGAATTTCTATGATTACCAATAACAAGATGGTAGGTTTTGATCAAATATTTTGAAATTTTAATAAAATGACAAAAAATATTACATAAATATATTTTTTTAACATTAAAAGAATTTCCTTTTTTGTACAAAATGTGGTTAAGCTTAGAATTTGACTTCTTTTTATTCATAACATTCAAATTTTATTTAAATATAACTATAAAAATCTCAAACCCAACATACTATTACAAAGAAGTTTGATCGTAACAAAAGTTTGCCCGTAATCACCTTATAATACCTACATAATTATGTAAATATTATTTACACCGCCAATGCATAATTATTAAACTCGGAAAAAAAAAAAAAAAAAAACCCTGCACTCACCCCCACCTCAAACCCCAACTTATTTTTTTAATTTTTTTTAAAACTTGTTTGATAGTTTACCTGGCAGAAGAGTAAGATACCTGGACCCATTAAGAAACACACATAACATATCATTTCATTTTCATTGAGAGTCACAAACTCAAAAAGATAAATAAAAATCAGAATCTTTACAAACAAAGAAACTAAATGAACTCATAAATAAAAAATAAATAAATAAATAAATAATAAAAAATAAAAAATCATTCCTATCCAAACTCCACAGTCCACACTCCCTCTTCTCTTTTTGCCCATAACTTTATTCTATGAAATCTAAACTAACCAATAGGAACCCAAGAATCATCATCAAACATGACCCCAAATCAGATAGAGAAGACAACAAAAAAATGTACAAACTTTCATTTTCTTGTAAATGCACACCCTTGTTGCCACGTGTCTTTATGTTTCACCACTAAAAAAACTCAAAAAACACCTTATATTTTTCACTCAAATTCTCCAACTTCCATAACAGCCACTTATAAACTCAAGAAACCTTTCAATTCCTTAAGAAACTTTGGAGTTTCACTCAAAAATCAAGTCTTTTTTTTAGTAGGAAGTGTTAAAAATCAAAACTTCCCACAACCCAAGATTTTGTTTTTTTTTTCTTTCAAAGTTTTGATTTTTTGTTTTCTTGGTTTTTGTGTACATTTTGTGTGTAATCAAGAAGCCAAAGAGGTTAAAGTTTGAATCTTTTTCAAGTTTTTGAACTATGGCTTCTTTGGTTTCTTCACCATTTACATTGCCAAACTCAAAAGTAGAACACCTTTCATCAATTTCTCAAAAGCATTACTTTCTTCACTCTTTTCTTCCCAAGAAAACAAACCCCACCTTCTCAAAATCACCCAAAAAGTTCCAATGTAATGCTATTGGAAATGGCTTGTTTACACAAACAACTCAAGAAGTTAGGAGGATTGTACCAGAAAACCTTAAAGGTCTTACTACTGTGAAAATAGTGTATGTGGTGTTGGAAGCTCAGTACCAATCAGCTCTTACTGCTGCTGTTCAGACACTGAACAAGAATGGTGAGTTTGCTTCTTTTGAGGTTGTGGGGTATTTGGTTGAGGAGCTTAGAGATGAAAATGCTTATAAAACTTTCTGTAAAGATCTTGAGGATGCAAATATATTTATTGGGTCATTGATTTTTGTGGAAGAATTGGCTTTAAAGGTTAAGTCTGCAGTGGAGAAAGAAAGGGATAGGCTTAATGCTGTTCTTGTGTTTCCATCAATGCCTGAAGTGATGAGGCTGAACAAGTTGGGATCTTTTAGTATGTCTCAGTTGGGGCAATCAAAAAGTCCATTTTTTCAGCTTTTCAAGAAGAAGAAATCTTCTGCTGGTTTTTCTGATCAGATGTTGAAGCTTGTGAGGACATTGCCTAAGGTCTTGAAGTACTTGCCAAGTGACAAGGCTCAAGATGCTAGGTTGTATATACTAAGTTTGCAGTTTTGGCTTGGAGGTTCACCTGATAATTTGGTGAATTTCTTGAAAATGGTGTCTGGTTCTTATGTTCCTGCATTAAAAGGGGTGAAAATGGACTATTCGGATCCGGTTTTGTACTTGGATAGTGGAATTTGGCATCCTTTGGCTCCTTGTATGTATGATGATGTGAAGGAGTATTTGAATTGGTATGCAACAAGGAGGGATGCTAATGAGAAACTCAAGAGTTCTAATGCTCCTGTTATTGGGCTTGTTTTGCAAAGGAGTCATATTGTTACTGGTGATGAAAGTCACTATGTGGCTGTGATCATGGAATTAGAGGCAAGAGGGGCTAAAGTTATCCCAATTTTCGCCGGGGGGCTAGACTTTTCCGGGCCAGTTGAGAGATACTTCATTGATCCCATCACAAAGAAGCCTTTTGTGAATTCAGTAGTATCACTTACTGGTTTTGCTCTTGTTGGAGGGCCAGCAAGACAGGATCATCCAAGGGCTATCGAGGCGTTGATGAAGCTTGATGTGCCTTACATTGTGGCATTGCCTTTGGTCTTCCAGACAACAGAAGAATGGTTGAACAGCACTTTGGGGTTGCACCCAATTCAGGTGGCTCTACAAGTTGCTCTACCTGAGCTCGATGGAGGCATGGAGCCTATCGTATTCTCTGGACGGGATCCAAGAACAGGCAAGTGTCCTTTTGTCATGTTGATTACAATTTCTATTTGACATGAAATGCAAATTCTATGTTTAGTTTGATTAGTTTTTGCTCAACATTACTAACTTTTACAGCTTTTTTTCCTTTTATTACTTGAAATATGCAGGGAAATCACATGCTCTTCACAAAAGAGTGGAGCAGCTATGCACCAGGGCAATCAAATGGGGAGATTTAAAGAGAAAATCAAAGGTATTTGTTCTTTTCATGTTAATTTAGATTAAATGATAAGATTTGTTTTGTAGCTTTAAGGTAATGTTCTGGCTAATTAGAACTATTTCACAAATGTGATTAGGTCAATTACTTGCAAATACTGATTAACATGGATCCATTTCTTTGAGTTAGTGGGAATAAATTGTTGACCATTAGTAGAACTCACTTATCTGGTACTAGTACTTAGAAATACTAATTGATGTAGACAAGTTTTAGAGTTCCCTTCTATTATTTAAACTTTGATCACTTCCATTAGGACTTCAGCAAGTCAAATGAACTCTATTTGATGTAAACAAGTTTAAGAGTTCCTCTTTTCTACTATTTAAAGGCATAATACATAAATAGACACTCAAACTTGGCCTCAGCTCCAAGTAAGCACTCCAACTTTGAGAGTGCATATCTAGACACCTCAACTTGGTCTTAACTAGCAACTAAACACTCCAACTTGTCCCCACTGTTCTCATGGACACCCGAAATCGACGTGATACCTAAATTTTGAAGGTGTCTAGATGATCATTTTGTAAGTTAGTGGTCAACTGACACAGAGATGAGTTGAGGTGTCTAGATGTATATACTCAAAGTTGGAGTGTTTGCTTGTTAGCTTAGGCCAAGTTTGAGTGTCTTTTTACGTATT